GCTCAAGACAGCAGGAAGGCTCTTAAGTTCAAATCCCAGGACCAGCACCAGAGGGAAGAGCTAACACAAAACAAAAGGAAAGAAATTAACATACCACCCAATATAGAAGAAATAGTTGTATTGTCAAAGCTCATAGAATTCACAAACTTTATAGACCACGATAATAACAATTTGCCTCATGGAGGTTATAATGTGTTTGTTACTTTTAAGTATCACTTTCACAATATTGTGAAATTTATGTAATCACTTAATCACAATAAAAAATTATTTTTAAAAAGTGTGTGTGTGTGACTTTAAAAATATTTTGTTTAAGGGGCTGGGAAGGTGGCTCAGTGGTAGAGTGCTTGCCTTGCATGCATGAGGCCCTGGGTTTGATTCTTCAGCACCACATAAGCAGAAAAAAAAAGCTGGAAGTGGCGCTGTGGCTCAAGTGGTAGAGTGCTAGCCTTGAGGTGAAGAACTCAGGGACAGTACCCATGCCCAGAGTTCAGGCCCCAGGACTGACCCCCAAAAAAGCATTTTGTTTAACAATTATTTTGGAGTGTAGCTAGATGATAAAAAAAAAAAAAACCACTGAAGGGCTGGAGGGATGCCTCAGCAGTTGAACACCTGCCTAAGAAGCCCCCAGAAAGCCTTGATTAACTTTTTGTCTGTGAATCTGAGCCTATTTGTAGAAATTAGTTGACTTTAGTTACAACAAAATTATCCAGTATCTCCAAAAAGTGGAGATTTTTCAGATAGGGAAATTCCTCAGGAGAGAAATTTGTATTCCAATAGTGATTTGCTATTAGAGAAATCTACCTATAAGAAAAGGAATGCATTGTTCCAAAATCTTGGTAAATTACATGAAATGTATAAAATGATTCTATACATTCATAGATTCTATACATTCTAGCAGTAGTTAAAATGTCCACTTATTTTAAATTATTTGGGCTAGTATAATCCTAATGCAGTAATGAACTATTAATGCCTAGGGTCTTTTTGTTTTTTGGTTGGTTGATTTTGAGACAATGTCTCCTTTTGTAGCTCTTGATTTTCTGAAACTTCCAGTCCTCCTACCCCAGCCTCCTAGGATAGAGGCATGAGCAAGCCACCATATCCAACATAAATACAGCTTATTTAATGCATACAAAAGGTACTGCCAGCTTGTTCTGAGAAATTACTTGCTTCTTTTTTTTTCTTTTTAGCTTTTTCTATTAATATACTACCCTTCTTGAAAGTTAACTTGTTTGGGTTTTTTCATTTTTGTTCTTTCTTTTCGGTCTTCCCCACGTTGAACTCAGGCCCTTGAACTTGCTGGGCTGTCATTCTTTGAACTCAGGCCCTTGAGCTTGTTAGGCTGCCATTCTGCCACTTAAGACATGCAGCAGCACTTTTTTTTTTCCTGGTTATTTTGGAGATGGAATCCTTTCTTCCTAGTCTGACCTTGAATTTGAGATCTAGGGATCTCAATGCCTGAGTAGCTAGGATTTCAGAAATGAGCCACAGGGTCTTGGCTTAAAAGCGTGATGTTTTTGTGTGTAGTTTTGTTTTGTTTTTTTGTTTTTTGTCAGTCGTGGGGCTTGAACTCTGGCTGGGCACTGTCCCTAAGCTCTTTAGCTCAACGCTAGTGCTCTACCACTTGAGCCACAGCGCCACTTAGGGTTTTCTGGTAGTTTCCTGGAGATAAGAGTCTCATGGCCTTTCCTGCCTGGGCTGGCTTTGAACCACAATTCTGATATCTCAGCCTCCTGAGTAGCTAGGATTACAGGGGTGAGCCACCTGTGCCAGGCTATTTTTGTGTTTTGTTCACTATAAAAAGTAAAAGTTGCTAGGTTAAAACTCTAAAGTCAAGGAATTTTAACCAGTTTCTTTTACTCTTTTCATACTTCATGACTTAGAGGATTCCTGTTATTTTTAGTATGGCATGTAAATTTGTGGTATGAGAAGTTTTGGAGTGGTTACCTAATTACAGAACAATGAATGATAGCCCCGAAGAGTGCCGCCATAGTGCCTTCTGCTAGCTATAGGAAAGTGAGTTCATGCATACAACTGAAACATAATCTGTTAAGTTCCTTAAGACATTTAAAGTTTACTATAATTATAACCAACTCAAATTATTTATTTGCCATGAAGCAAATATTTTCCTATTAAAAACTTTAAATTCCACCAGGTACTGGAGGCTCATACCTGTAATCCTAGCTACTCAGGAGACTGAGATCTGAGGATCATGACTTTGAGGCCAACTTCAGCAGACACATCCAAGAAACTCTTAGCTCTAGTTAACTAACAAAAAGCTGGATTTGGAGAAGAAAATTTAGATTCACTGGATTTAGAGCAGAAAATTAAAGTGAGAGCACAAGGCCCTGAGTTCAAGTCTTGGTGCAGGTACAAAAACATAATAATAAATAGAAACTCATAAGTAAAATAGCAATTAGGATCACAAATTAATGCTGTTAAAATGTCACTTCAGTAATGTTACGCAACTTCTAGTTATGCAACTTTTTGTTTTGTTCATCTTACAATATTTTTAAATTATATATGATATGAGTAAATTATGTATCAGAACAGAGTTCTATGAAAGTTTACTGAGACGGTCCCTAATTAAAACTACAGGAGGCTGAGAAGTGTGGCTGAACTGACAGAGCACCTGTCTGCCCTAGTTCAAGGCCCGAACTTCAATACTTAACTCTGAGAATGGGACTTCACCGAAGTCTACCTCAGATAATGGGGCTTCAAAGAGACCTGTCTCTGAGAATGGGACTTCACCGAAGTCTACCTCAGAGAATGGGGCTTCAAAGAGGCCTACCTCCTGGAAAGGCTGGCAAGCCCCTGGGAAAGATGTGTTTCTGTCCCTGCTTTTCTTTTCTTCACTGTATAAGAGTGCCTATTAATCTTGTTTCTGCTGCTCATTGTACTTACTCATGCTCAACGTTCCTTTATTCAAAGCTCTTTCTTAAGAGTGTTGACAACTCCAATATCTGATGGGTGTCTTAAAAATATGACTAACTCACCAGAGTTAAGTGCTACCCTGAAAGCCCCTCTTATGGAGGCTAGTAGACAAGTCATAAGCAAATATAAAAGTATTGGGGGTTTCACGACGTCACTTCAGCAGAAGGAATTGTTGGTAAGAGATTTACAAGAAGCTGTAGGTGTGGCTAGAACAGAAAGAATGTATGGCAATTGCTGAGATAACTACTTAGGAGAAAGAACTTCCTGTTACTCTTTGATTTACTTAGAGACTTGCTAGATCTAGGCCTCCATGGTGCTTACTATTAAAGAAGGAACAGGAAAGATCTTAATGGGACAGCTAAGGCCTCTATAGAAAAAAGTAGTGGTTAATTGGTGACATACATCGAAACCCATTGTATTTCTTAAAAATAGAAGTAAGCCGGAAACAAGTGCCTATCTGGCGACCAGCTGGTGACCACCCAAGAATGAAGCCCTGCAGCAAGATTGTGTAACCTTTTGCCCTTTCTCATGAAGACTTTTGCTATAAAAGTTTGTTATCCTCTGCATTAAATCGCACTCAGCATCCACTCCTCTTGTGTGTGAGTTGTCTGTTGCCATCTCCCCACCTATTCCAGTTCCTCCACTAGGTGTCCTCTGTCGTCCCGACCGCGGCAGTTAACCCCTATTTAAAAAGAGAGAGAGAGACTGGGCAGGGGTTTAGCCCAGCGGAAGGGCGCCCGCCTGGCACGCGCAAGGCCCTGGGTTCGGTTCTCAGCCCTGGGGAAAAAAAAAAGACATATAAAGCTACAAAAAGAGAGAGAGAGAGACAGAAAAGAACCCTACAAAATCAACCGGTTTTTCTAGAGAAGATTACATCTGAGCTATTATACGTATTTCTAATACTCTGAGGTAGTCAATTGGTATTTTAGAAATTTCTGTTTTGTGTTTTTGTGCATTTTCAAAAAATATTTTAAATAAGCATTCATAGTATATGTGGGGGGTTTGTTTTATTAAATAGATTCTATCTTAGAATGCTAAAAGTAAAATTCCATTTTTTTAAACTTCTGAACCATATAACTAAAAACTAAGAAGAAATCAAGCAAATGTGTTAAGTTCTTAAAATTCACTTGCATTCTCTTAGCATCACATTATTCCATAAAAAGAATGGGCAGGCTTTTGTTGCTATCAAAAAAAGTGGTATTTGCTATTGGATTTATTGCAATAAATATTTGCATTTAAGTTTTTCTAAGCTTTTACTAAGAGAATTGTAGGTTTTATGATTGCAAATGCAATGTTTACCACTGAATCTAAATTTCATTAAAGAAAAATGTATTTTAGTCCTTTATAATGACATTCTAGGGGTTTTCCTGTAATATCTTTAAATACTATTTCCTGTAAGATTTGCTTTTCTTCCATCTTTTTGGGCAGATAAAAAATACTTCATGAAGTATTTAATGTCCAGTAAGAATCTCCCTTCTTAACTCCCAGTTGAACAAGTATAACAGTGTATTGACTTTTATATCTACCATTTCTTTTGTACTTTGGGGTCATGACTAATAAAATAAGGGTTACTTAAACAGAAGCCCTGTGTCCATCTTTTTAGACAACAACTAAGTGACTAATTGGCAGGGAATATATAAAGTATGAATATACTAGAAAAAAGGGATGATTTCATTTCCTGGACAGGATGGAGTAAAATTTTACCACACTACTAGGAATAGTGCTTAATTTAAAACTTAATGAATTGCTTATTTTACTAATTTTCTATTTAATATTTCCAGTCCCCTGTTGGCCATGGGTAACTGAAATCACAGAAAAGGAATATTCCTTTTATAGCTCATCCATTTCCTCTTCTGTTAGGGACTGGAATTATAATCTTACTGAACTCTGACTTTGGGGGTGGGGAAGGGGATCTGTGTATCTGTTTAACTGTAAGGTTAACACTGCCCTTTTTTTTTATGCTATTTCTGGAAGTGAAATTCAGTGCCTCCCAAATGCTAGGCAAATACTTTCTACACAGCCCACATAAATTTATACCAGTTTTATAATTCCTGATTTTCCTCTTGTAGCTTTATGCAGGAGCTATTCTTGAAGTCTGTGGATGAAAATTGGGGAGGTTCCCTCAAGTCCAAGGTATGTAGCAAACTATTGAATCATTTTAAAGTCACCATTATACAAGAATGGTTTCATTAAATATTCACGAAAATGCTTTAGAATTAGACTTTCTTAACAACATATGAATTTTGTTCGTTTGTTTTTACAGTATATAAAATGTAGATTTAAAATACAACAAATGAAGTGGTTATTTTCTTAAAAGGAGATTCTGTTGCCAAGTAACTTTTATGACAGCTCTTCTTTTAGCAGATGTAAATGTAATTCCTTTAAATAACACACCATTCTAGTATATTTTAAATGTGACTAGATTTATGAAAAACTGCATGAAGTTAGAATTGATTACCATATAATGTGGGTATACAAAAGAGTCATAATATGTATATCTTCATAAGAATTTAATGATAAATATGTTAAAGGATCATTATAACTGTATTCTTCAGGCAAACATTAAACAATGGTGAGCTTACCTATTCAAAAAGGCTTTTTAAATATTTTGTCTTTGTATGCACTTGAAGATAAGTTTTATGATACTGACCTCACAATAGTGAAGCTTTTTATTTAAATACATAATCATTCTTTTTATATACTTTATTTTGTTTTGATATTGGCTTATTTTCAATTGTTTCTTACATTATTTACTAACAGTAAATGATTATGGGGGCATTCCACATGTCATAAAAATTTCCTGTGTGAGCTCATGCCTTTTATTGCTGACTTAGATTTGCTTATAATAAAATAATGCTTATTTTGACACAGAAATATGAAATTCAGTAGTTTAACTTGTCATTTTTAAGTGAGCCTCAAAGAGACACATCTAGTTAAATATATTCTTTGTTAGAATAAGTACATATTCTAATGTAACACAGATTTAATTTCTACTTCTGCTATGGGTAAACATTCTTACTCTGATCCTGTCCCCCTTTATCTCAGACACCTAAACAGAGAAGCCACATTTTGAAAGATTGAATCTGGAGTCTTTATTAGAAAGCCAGCATCTGCGGGCGGACTCCTGTTTCAAAGGCCTGCAGCCCTTCTAATACACTTAACACTTAGAAAACTAAGAAAGCAGAGAAAAACAATACTAACTAACAAACCAGATATAGAGAGCTGAAATCAGATGCTATGGTGACTGGAGGAGAGCCAGGGGACACGAGACAGGAGACAGACACAAGAGGCTTGGTGTCCTGGCGCCTAAACATGTCTGCATCTAAATAGGGTCAGGTCCTGGGCCAGGGTCACAGGGCACTGGACTGAACCGTCCAGTAACCTATCATCCAAGTCCCACAGGCATGCCCATCACCTAGGAGATGGGACTGCACCTTCCTCCATCATGAAGACAAGATGGAACCAGTTAAACTCAATTCCCTGTCCACCATGGGGCAAAGATGAGGCCAGTTAGACCCAACATCCTGGCTAAAATACAGCAACTTGTATTGGTCTTTTATATTAGTTCTTGAAATGACAGCATGATTAGTTTTATTCCCATTCTAAGCTTTTACTAAGAGAATTGCAGGTTCTGTCATTAGAAAAGCAATGTTTACCATTGGATCTGAATATTAAATAACACAGCAGTTGCCAAAGTTTCGTCAATTACCTTATACCATAATGATTATATTTACTGATTTGTATTTTTTTGTTTTTTTAAGTGCTGTTAGGTTACTTTGGTTGTTTTTATTTTTAACGATACCAGTGTATATCCTAGCATATTAGAATCCTCCTGCCTCAGCTTCTAAATGCGGGTGTTATAGCCATGTGTCATCATATTTGACTGAATTGTTTTATTAATAATCTTCTGTGACTTAGTTTTCATTGATGCTGCAAAAAGCCATCCTATTTATGAAACCAGATTTTATGTCTGTGGTAACATAGATTTCTTTCTTGCTTTTTTTTTTAAATTTGTTTGGGTGGGGAATAGAGTCTCACTATGTAGCTTACAGTAGTTTTGAACTTAAATCCTCCTGCCTCCTCCATGTTACATCTCCATGTTACAACTCCAGTGTTGATACAGATCATATATCTTAGCCCAGTTCCAAAAACAAAGCAATTTACAACAATAAATTTTCCTATTTTTAAGCTTTTTAATACACGAATGCAAAGTTCAGATTTCACATGTGTTTGTTGTGCTATTTGTATTATTAAATGAAATAATGGTATGAAATGGTGGGGATGGATATGAATGACATTTTATTATGATTGACATGTACTTTTTTAATCAATAAGAACTAACTATAGGGCTATTCACAGTCTTAATCATATTTGCTATAAGCTTTTATAATCAAATCTTAAAATCAATATTCAGTATATTACATTGTAGGACTACATGTGATGTAATCAAAGATGTGTCATATATAGATGTAGGTCTGTTTTGTCCCTTTTCATTTATATTTTCACTGTATGTGATTTTTGGAAATAAGTAATTCAAACATTTTTCTTTAACTTCAAGACATACACTTATTATCCAATCCCTGCTTATAGAGCAAGCACTAGGATTGATATGTGTGTTAAAGGTTAGCTCTAACATGTCCCTGAACGTTAAGAGGAGGTTCTCCTCAGCCATATAGACAATAAAACTTAGCTCTTAGGGGTAGTATAAGTGATTGTGGCTCATGCCTGTAATCCTAGCTACTCAAGAGCCTTAGAGCTCAGGATCACAGTTCAAAGCCTGGGCAGGCTTTAATTAAACTAAGTCTATGAGACTCATATCTCCAATTAACCACCAGAAAAGTGGAGCTGTAACTCAAAGTAGTAGAGTGCCAGCAAAAGAGCTCAGAGACAGCACCCAGGCCAGGAGTTCAAAAGAGCTCAGACAGCCTGCAGGCCCAGAATTCAACTACCACAACTGACGGAGAAGAAAAAATACTGCCGTTCTTCTTATTTTCAGAGAATAAAGCTTATTCCATCTTGTAGTTACTTACTCTATCATTCCTTTTGAATATCTAAAATATATTAGGGATAATTAAGCCATAGGAAAAATAAAACAGGGCTGAGAAGGTGGCTTGGTGGTAGAGCACTTGCCTTGCATGCATGAGGCCATGGGTTCGATTCCTCAGCACCACATAAGCAGAAAAAAAAAGCCGGAAGTGGCGCTGTGGCTCAAGTGGTAGAGCGCTAGCCTTGAGCTGAAGAGCTGATGGACAGTGCCCAGGCCCAGAGTTCAGGCCCACAACCGCACCCAAAAAAAAAAACAAAACAAAGACTAAAGTTAGAAGGATAATGTAATAATAAAGTGAAACATCAATATTACAGTTTCTGTGTTTTTTGTTACTGCATGGCCTACATAGTATGACGCCATCTTTGCCCAATTTATAGGGGTTTTAGTTTTCATTGGACACATTTGTGAATTCAGATATATTGTTTTCTACCCATAATGGCATAAAAGAAAATTGACAAGCTTTCTATGATTGGTAAATGAAAGATGAATCTTGTGCTTTAGGCCTTAATTGTCCAGTTATGTAGCCAACCATTGGCTATTTAACCCACTCAGTTCCTCAGTGAATTGCAATATTTCAATGCTGAGTACATTATATCAAACAGATCAGAGATAGAATATTGACATTAATGCAGAAATTTCTATTGGACAGTGCTACTCTAGACTAATGATAGTATATCTAATTAGATAGCAAAAATCTCTGGCTGTGATACTTCATTTACTAACAATTAGAATGAGTTTTCTCAAAATCAGGAATCAGTGAATGAACAATATATATTACAAAGTACAAAAAGAAAGTAAATTTTTGTTTCAAGCAAATACTTTATCATACATGAGTGTGTGTTGTTCTGGTGATTATAACACCTAGTTTTTATGATGTTTATGCCAAAGTAGACATATGTAAATAGATGTTTGGCAGGAAATGGATGGTGTAAGCTGTGGGTTTAGTTCAGTGGTAGAAGTAAGTGTACTTAGCATATGTTAGGTCCTAGGTTTAATCCCCAGCACTTCCTTCATTAAAAAAATTAAAAATTACTGGAAAAAAATACTGGATTGATTGTTCTAATATATTTATATAACTAAAAGTTAGTAATTTACAAATAAGATGGTCATCTTCAACAAAATAAGCCTTCAAATACTATCACTTTGACAATGTACAAGAAGAAAAGTCAGAGCAATAATAAGCTAGAATCTACTAGAAATGTATTTGAAATCTAGAATCCATATTTGTAAGATAGGTTTGTTACCAATTCAAATATGAGAGTCAGTGAGCTATTAGTTGCATCAGAGCACATTTTATTTTATTTACCTTCAAAACCAGGAAAATAGTTGGCTTAAGTATGCTCAAGTTCTTGTTCATATGTGTCTCACTTTGTTTTTTTGGAGACATGATCTCCAAAAAAGGCTGCCTTCTCCCTACCTAAGCCTTTTCAGTGCTAAGATTACAGATTATACATCCATATCTGGCTTGTGTTTAAATTTTTAATAGAATTCCTCATAGCTTTGTTTTCTAGTTATTATTTTGCAAAATTATTCATAAATCATTTTGAAATAGAAACAGTATCTACTGTAATTGTACAGTAATTCTACAGTAATTGCTATTTTTTTCATATGTTCCGAACACTATCTTGGTTCTTCAGAATCTAAGGAAAATAAATATATCTTGAAAGGGTGTCATTTATCCGAATATTAGTTTCTCTTTGTATATTGACAATTCATGAAGCTCTAGAGCACAAGAAATATAATTAAATGTGATTACAACAAGCAGCTCTGTATATTAAAATACCAAATTTTTGTCAAGTGTTTAAAAATTCACTATTCGGATTTTTCCTATCCTTTGTAGAGCATCATGAGAATTTTCCCATATAACACTGTCATGTTATATATGTTCATACTGGTGATTCAAATCATTACTGCATTCAAATTTGTCCTCTCTCCCATGGTACTGGAATTTTTAACTCAGGATCATGCATTTGACATGTTGTACAATCTTTTTTGCTTTTGTTATTCTGTGTTTTTTGTCCTGCTTAGCATGGACCCCTGCCCACATATTTATGCTTACTGCATAGCTGGAGTGGCTGTACACTCACATGCCCAGCATTTGGTTGAGCTGGAGGTCTATTGATAATTTTGCCCTGGGGACTGGCTTTAACTTTGAATTCTCACAGTATCTGCTTCTCAAGTAGCTGGGATTAACAGGCATGAATGGCACCCAACTAATTACTGTCATTTTTTTTCCTGACTGGTGAAGATCCAAGAATACTGTTGCCTTTTTTAACATAGTTTTGTTTAGGTTTTGAAGTGCTAGAAAACAAATTCAGGGCTTTGTACCTGCTAGGCAAGAGTTTTACTACTGAGCCACATGTACTCCAGCCCTCTTAGCATATATATTTGCTGTATTTTTTTCATTTACTTTCTCCATTCAAAACCTTGGCAGTTGTTTGACTATTATGAAATGTCAGTTTTTAAGATCAAGATAAAATGGTAAGAAGTAAAGTCCTCTTGGTCTTTGAGATTGTGTTGCAGAAAGGGCATCATTTGATATTCAGTTCTTAAGTTTTCAGTTCTCTAGTTGCATTTTTGTTGCCTTTTGTCACTCAGGTACAGTAAATCTTACTTCTCTTAATCCAGGGTATTTATTACTTATTAAATTAATAGCATTTGTGCTAAAATATAGTCAATGGTAGAGTGTTTTTCTAGTATGAAAGCCTGAAGCCCTGCTGAGTTTGACCTTCAGCTGTGCATACAAATAATTAGCAATATTTAATTTCTTTGATTCTGGGAATCAAACCCAGGACTATTCACACTCTGAATAAAGCTCTATCACACAGCTATAGCCTGCCCCGATTGCATTGCCTTTATGACCATCTTCTGCCTCTTTTTTTACAAATCTGTTTTAAGGAAATTGTAGGTTTCTTACTCTTTTTTTATTTATTGAAGTTAAAGAACATAGTTTCCTCATATTCTCAGATAACTGATCCAATGCCATGTGTATATGATGTCATTAAAGATTTGTTTTTAAAAAGTTCATTTACTGCTTGTAAAAAGAGATTTGCCTATACAAAGTATCTAACAATTATTCTGATTCAGATTGAGGATGCTTTATGGATCTCTGCCTAACAGAAAAGAGTTAAAAACTGATACAAACAGTCATTAGGGACTCCTCTTAATATTTCTTTTAAATTTGTTCACTCATTTCATCCTATTAAAAGTCTGTTAAATGAAAATTACTAACTGCTAACAGTTTTGTTTTGGATACAGAAAAAAATAATCTTTCTTCAGAGTGGTTTCTTAATGTAATTGGAAAAACAAATTGACACATTTGGAAGTGTGTTGGATACTGTTTTGTCCATGCATAGAGAGTTTTAGCTAACAGTCTAAAATGCAGTAGGATATCATAAAATAACTTGTTTGAAAGTTCTTGATTGAGCAGAATATTTGAACAAATCTTGCAGAATGAAATTAAATAGAAAACGTAACTTTAATCAGTCAGAATAACAGTTTTATTTTGAATTAAGTTTTGCAAGGAGAAATTAGTATCTTTCAAGTCCTCAAAACTTTAAAAGAAAATTTCATTTACCCTACCTTCATAATGAAAAGTCAGTAAATACACTTGTTTTCTAATTCTAAGTTTGAAGAATAAGTCTCTAGCTCAGAATATGGCCAACAACACCAGCCTCTCAAGTACCAGGCCCTGTGTTCAAAGCACAGAAATATAAGATACTAAACAAAATGCTATACGTGTTATGTTTAAAAAATGTGTTCTACACTACTAAATATCCCCATGCTGCTGATCACATGTATGGTATATATATGTACACCGTTATATGTTATAGACTGTGATAGACAATTTACTCCAGGAAAGTTAGAATGAACTTGTGACTTTAAATGAGCATCATTATTCCACAATACTGTGAAATTTGGGAAATTATGTAATCACTTAATCACAATTTAAAAAAAAAAAAAAAGAACCTTGGGGAAGGTAGGGAGGGAAGGGATGGTAGGGGGAAAACAATGGAGGGGGTGACAATGCTCAATAGGAAGTGTACTGATTACCCTGTTCATGTAACTGTAACACCCTATATAGTATCTTTACAATAAAAAAAAAAATTTAAATGTGTTCTAAACTTTTTTAATTTGATCAGATAGACATGATCATTATTGAAAAGTTGACAAGACACAAATATTAACAACGAAAAAAAAGAAGGAAATGCTCCTTTAAAATTTCCCCCTATCAATACCCCAGGTTAAAGCCTTCTGTTTAGGACTTTAGTTAGTGCTTCTGAGCTGTTTCATTTAGAAATGAAATTATTTAGGAATAAGTATCTACTACTTTTTCAATACCCATAGGGGAAAAAATGAATCTATAACCTATATATCATAAAAGTTTGTACTTTGTGAATAAACATAGGTCAGTATTGTTGTTTTGTGTTTTTTTTGTTTTGTTTTTGGCCAGTCCTGGGGCTTGGCCTCAGGGCCCGGGCACTATCCTTGAACTCCTCTTACCACTTGAGCCATAGCACCACTTGCAGCTTTTTCTGCTTATGTGATACTGAGGAATTAAACCCAGGGCCTCATATATGCTAGGCAAGCACTCATTCCCAGCCTTCCAAATACCAAAATTTTTATGAAGACCTTGAACATATCATCTAAAAGTATAATCTATCAATACAAATTGAATCCTATAAGTATACTAACAAGCTTAAAACAGTACATTTTAACACTTGCTAAGTACCCTTTTAGAAGGATGTTTGGACTTCTTCCCACAATTCAACCTAGGAAAAACAATCTCTCCCTGCTCCCTCTTTTTTTCTACTCTAAAATAAATCTGTATGTAAGTATCTTGCTCTTTGGCATTATAATTATTAGTGTACCTGAGCATTTATTTCAATTGTTGATTGATCCTTTTTCTATTAATTACATGTTTCTATCTTCAGTCCATTGCTTGGGTATTTTTTCTTTATTGTAAGAACCTCTTAATACATTGCAATTTAGAGATAATTTTTACCAGTTGGTCATGTTTATGGTAGTGGTGATATTGCTGCTCTAAAGTTTCAATTTTTATGCAAACCCATAAAGCATTTCTTTTAGGGGAAGAATTTTGTTTCCCATTTTCATTTTAGGTATCTGTTTTACAAACTTTAGTGAGTATTCTGAACCTCTCTTAGCATTTATCACAAGTGTAATTATTTGTTTAGCCTCTTCATCAAACTGTAAATTTCATAAAGTCAGGAACTAATATGTTTGATGTAGCTATGTATGCTGTCTTACATATAGTAGATAGCCAATATTTTTGTGTTAAAGTTTTACTCTATGTGAAATGTATTTAAATATGATTCAATGTTGATACCTATGTTTTCTGTTATTCCCAAATAGCTCAATAGTTTTCTCAAAAGTTTTCTTTGAATAATTCACATATACATCAGACACATATATCCCTTCCCACTCCTTTTTTCTGATTAATAACTTTACCATATTCAAAACATGTAAAATATTTATCTCTGGGCTGGGAAGGTGGCTCAGTGGTAGAGTGCTTGCCTTGCATGCATGAGGCCCTGGGTTCGATTCCTCAGCACCACATAAGCAAAAAGAAAAAAGCCGGAAGTGGTGTGGTGGCTCAAGTGGTAGAGCGCTAGCCTTGAGCTGAAGAGCTGAGGGACAGCACCCAGGCCCAGAGTTCAGGCCCCATGACCGGACCAAAAAAAAAAATTTATCTCTTCTAATTGTTTAAGTGTTCTGGTCTCAGTATCATGGAGTATATTATTAAATTGTTCCCTCATATTTTACTTTGTAAAGTTGCCTTGACTATTCTCATTTATAGCTGAGCTATTTGGTGTTATTACTAATTTGAAAAAGTCTTAAAACATATAGTCTGTCACAAAAGATTTATTTACTACCTATTTGAATAAGACAATACTTAGTTTAAGTTTATTTCCATTTTTGGTGTTGATCTTTGAGCTGGCTGAGATTTTGACATAACAATTTGGATCTTTTTTCCTTTAAGCTTTTGTCAGAAGTGATAAACCCAAACTGTTCCGTGGACTACAAATCAAGGTAAGATTATTGTAATGGAACTTCTCCAGATACTTTTTGAAGTAAAATAAGGATAAAAAAGATAGCTGGACACTGGTGGCTCACACTTGTAATCCTAGATACTCAGGAAGCTCAGCTCTGAGGATTAAGGTTCTAAGCCACCCTGGGCAGGAAAGTCTGAGACTCTTATCTCCTTTAACTATCTTAAAAATTATTGAAGTACAGCTGTGGCTCAACTGCTTGAGCAAAAAGGCTCTGGATAGCGCTCAGGCCCTAATTACAAGCCTCAAGACCCACACAAAAAATTATTGTTAGTATAATAAATATACAAATAAGTATAAATATCCATAAATAAACTTTGATTTTTTTTAGAGCAGTTCTTTGTATACAGAAAATCTGGAGTTTCCATACTATTTAGCCTCTACCCTTACCCTCAGTTTCCTGTTAGAATTCAGTAAGTTTGTATTAAGGTTCAGTTTTTCTTTTGTGTGGCTGAAGTTTTTCCAATTGCATAATAACATTGTCATGCAGAATATTTTCTCTGTCCTAAAAATCTTGATTGCTTCTCAGATTTATCTCTCTGTCTCCTCTACCACTGCCAGCCACTTGTCTTGTTCTTGCTCTATGGTTTTGCCTTTTGTAGAGTGCATATAATAGTATTTTCACATTGCCTTCTTTTACTTATCAATGTGCATGTAACGTTCTGAGAGCTTCTTTTCTATGCTTCAATAGCTCCTTTTTATTGCTGAACAATATTCTGTTGTACCACAGATTCTTTTTTTTTCTATTCATCTATGTAAGAATAACTCTGTAGTTTGTAGTTTGGGCCAACAGTTAACACTTTTTTATATAATTTTTATGTATACAAAAGTTTTCATTTAATTTAGGGTAAAGGCCTAGGAGTATGAATTGCTGGGTTTTATAGTTTGGCCTCTATGTGACTTGGAAATGTTTTCTTCTACAGGTTGTTTTTTCAATCTGTCCATTGGTTCTTTAATTGTGCATAAGTTTTTTTAGCTTAATGTAGTCTTAGCTGTCATCTGTCTTACTTTTGCTTATTTTCCCACATTTTAATTTGGATTTGTTAGGTTAGATTGTTTTGTTTTGTTTGGAATAAGTTCTTTTGGTTTTGCTAAAATTTAAGAGTTGACTGTTTAATGTGAATCCTTTCATTGGATGTTTGTTTTGCAGAGATTTTCCTGCCAATCTGTAGCTTATCTTTCTTTTTGGAAGGGAGGAAGGTTTGTACTCAGGGCCTAACACTTGATTAATTTGTGTAATTGATTGGTGTTCCACTACTTGTACCATGCTGCCAGCCCAGTCTCAAAGTCTTTTCTGCCCAAGCTAGCTTTGAAACCTCCATTCTCTGGATCTCCCAGATCTCAGCCTTCTGAGTAGCTAGGATTACAGGCATGAGCCACCATTGTCTGCTTGTAGGTTGTATTTTTATTCTCATTGTCTTGAATGGAGCAGACTTTATTCTTTGGGACTGGAAGTACAACTCAATGGTACAATACTTGCATAAGGCTCTGGGCTCCACCCCCAACAACACACACACACACACACACACACACACGCACAATTGGGAATATACTGAGTGTTGATAATGATATCAGAACTTCTCTCCATCTCTCAAGTCCATAATCCACAGAATTTTGAAAAAAAAAACCACATGAAGCATAATTGCTGAAAGAAGATATAAGTACTCTTTCTCAACACAGCTATATCTTAGTTATCAGGTTTTAGTCATTTAAAGAGTTAATCTTGTAACAAATGCATTGGTTTTATTGTCATTTTTTCCCAGATTTAGAATTTCACAGAACTATAAATACCAATTCCAACCAACTAATGGATCTGAAATTTCAAGAACTCCACCTAATTCCAAACTGATTATAACAAAATCATTACATTTCTTAATCCAAAGGAAATTTATAATCCAGCATAGGATTCTGTATCTAATTGTTTTTATGCACGGCTTATTTCACAATTGCTCTTATACCATTCTTCTATCTTATTTGAATTCATTTACCACCACTATCAAATTTTAAGCTCTTCAGTATGAGTCATGTATGCAAAAAATAGTTTGTACATTCATAATAAGCTTTAAATCCCAAATAAACTGTCTTGATACCAGCAGATACTTTTCTGTTTAGAAGAAATATTATTTTTTCTCACATTTATGATGCAAGTTAATTCTTTCTTAAAAGACTTCCTTTAAAATCTATTATCATGTTACATCTAAAAATTATTAATTACTCTTACATTTTTTAAACCTGTTTTGATGTTGATTGAGAATAACAAGGCCCTTTCACAGCAGAAAATAATGATCATGTCCCTCTTTTATACAGTATGTTCGTGGTTCAGATCCTGTACTGAAGCTTTTGGATGACAACGGGAACATTGCTGAAGAGCTAAGCATCCTCAAATGGAACACAGATAGTGTGGAAGAATTTCTGAGTGAAAAATTGGAGCGCATATAAATCTTGCTTAAATTCTGTCCTATCATTTTGTTGCCTTATCAAATGAAATATTACAATATCCAGAAAGTTGTTCTGCATGCTTCCATTGATCAGCCTTTCACTGTGAGGCATTAAACATTCTAGTTAGAAGTTGAGGTGGCAGCACAGCCCATAATATGTGAGGAGTGAGCAAGCTTCACAGAACCCACTTTTTCTAAATTTCTGTCCATTTGCATTTGTTGATACCACTAATGAAATGCTTTGTAATAGGCTTGTCATTAAATGCAAAGGATAGTTTGATAATTGGTCGAGTTTTATCAACAACAATTCTAAATCAGGGAGAGTTAATGAAGACAATGCTATGCCTCCTATGCTATGTGTTCTTTCAAAAATAATGACAGAAAACTACAGAGCAAGTAAGATAAACTGAGCCTCAACAGATTGCCTTCTCCTGGGAACCTCTTGTGTTTTGTATTCCACCGCTTTCTTTTTAGTAGAAATATTATTTAGATTGTAATGAGTGTCCTGCAGAAAACTTTTGTAGCTTCATTATTGTGAAACCAGCTTGGAGATCTGCAGTAAGAGTGGATCATACACAAAGATTTGCATCAATGAAGACTACACAGAAAACCTTTCTTAAGGATTTGTGCAGATCAGATATTTGGCAGATTTTTGTGCTTTATATTCTTATAGAAAAATGTTCATTTAAAAAATGATCACTTGTAATACCAAAATATAAATAAAACCAGTCAAAAGTCTTGAATTTGACGTTATCCTAATTTGTCTTTGCATGTTTAAAAATGTTAATGTTATTGCTGCATTCATCTCAGCTATTTATTTATCTATTTATTGCCAATCTTGGGACTTGAACTCGAGGCTTAGGCACCCTTTCAGGGCTGGCACTCTATCTCCTGAGCCACAGCTCCACTTTCAGCTTTTTGCTAAGTAATTGGAAATAAGAATTTCATGGACTTTTCTGCCTAACTGGCAGTACTGCAGTACTTAGATCTCAGCCTCCTGAGTAGTTAGGAGCCACAGGCACCCAGCCTAGTTTTTGGTTTTCTATTTTAAACAAAATGTAAAAATTGCTGAACCAGTTAAAAGTTACCCTAAATTCTATTGTTGGTCTTTACCAGTAGTTTATGTCATATAATATTTAAAATTAGTCCATTTTTAAGGGTAGCAAGAGAATATTCTCTGCCTAAACTGGCTTTTTAAAATAGCATAAGAAATCCTGTCAAGCAGACTATAATCTACTTTGGATCATGGCATAAATAGTTGATAAAACTAGAACTGGTTAACATGAAAGTGATCCCTAATGGCTATTGCTATTTCAGAACAAAAGGGATATTAAGCCAGTGTGGACATTGGAAAAAAATCATGGAGTTGCCACCACATACAGAACAATAGTGGTATTGATGAACAAGACTTCAAAACTTTTGCGATTGGCATACAAAATAATTAGACTGATTTCTCGGCAGAAAGTGCCAGTTAAATGAGTATCTAACATGGAGTGTTAGCAAAGAGAGGCCTTGAAACTATTGTATTCATGCTGTTGTGAGAGATCAAAGAAGCTGAAGAACCCTACCGTATTTTAGATCTTCCAGTTCTCAAGCTGATGAATAATAGGATATCTACCAAGCCCCAATTTTTTAATTGGGAGGTTCAATTTACTCAGCTAATTCAGAGTGGTTTTTGCCAATTGCAAGCAAAGAACAGCTTTTTAAAGAAACAAAAGCACTGATTACCAAGAGTATTAATACTGATCCAAAAAGTATTGTTTTATAGCCAAAGTCTGACATTTGATTCAGCTTATTCAAAGTCACCACAAATAACAGCTATTTAATAACTGCAACTTTGCTCACCTTGCCAAAACTATATTACTTATAACTTAACCAGTTAATTTATCTCTAAATTTAGCAAAGGCTTCTTATGAGTAAAACTACAAATAAAACTATACTGTTTAAAGGCTTGAGAGCTTTTAAAAATTAAAAAGAAAGAAGTACAGGAAATGCCTTTGAAGGTAGATCCTGCAAATGTTTAATAGTTAAAGGAAGAGATGTAGCTCCATGTTAGAGCACTTATCTAGCATACACAAGACTATATGTTTGATCTCCAACACACATAAATTAAGTTGGCAGTAACTAGAGTGTGAAAACATTTACAAATACATGGGAAGTAGTGCAGATGTCATATAGCTTCATAGTATTCCTTCTACTTAAAAATTGACATAGCTTTTAATTGTCCATTTTTCACATTTTTGCATATTTTATGGGAATGCTACTTTAAAATGACTAGACTTGTAGAATGAATAGAGTGCAGTCTAAACAGGTACATGAAGCAAGATTATGCATGGACAGGTTGCCGGGGAAGGGACCCACAGGTCCCCAGAAGCAAACTCCATGTTTTTCATGGGAGTAGTGGTTCAGTTTCTGTTAATCCAGTAACATAGGGCATAGTAACTGCCATGAGTAACAAGAGTTAACTAACTTTTTAAGTTTTGAGAGGAAAAAAATCATAAAATTCATCTACTGGAGTATACAATTCAGTAATTATTTAATATGTTCAACATGCAGTTTTATCCCTCCAAAAAGGAATTCTGTACCCATCAGTGGTCAGTCCCCATACCTACCCTACTAGCCATGTGTGTAGCATGATTCACTTAGTGTATTTAGGGTTTCATTCAATGTTCTTAGTCTCTTTATGATTTAATGTCCCTTTTATAGTTAGCCCCCCCTTTTGGGTGGGGGGGGGTCCGGTTATGGGGCCTAAACTCTGGGCCTGGGCTCTGTCCCTCAGCTCTTCAGCTCAAGGCTAGCGCTCTACCACTTGAGTCACAGCGCCACTTCCGGCTTTTTTCTTTTTGCTTATGTGGTGCTGAGGAATCGAACCCAAGGCTTCAGGCATGCAAGGCAAGCTCTCTACCACTGAGCCACCTTCCCAGCTCCAGTCCCCCATTTTTTGATAGAGATTTGTGTTTCTATTTTGGAGAGTTTTATTATGAGTAATGCAACTATATGCCTTTATGTACAACTTTTTTTTCTCATGTTGGGAGACAAACCCAAGGATTTGTATATGCAAACTGTATCTCCACAGCCCCCACCTAGCTTTCTGAGTAATTGCCAAATTTATTCAAAGTGGTAATACTCATGGCATTGCGATTGGCAACTTAAAGGCCCCGATTTCAGCATGTGCTGTAGGTTTCTGTTCTAATGAAGAGCACAGTCATTTTACAAGCTTACCAATAGGAGCCACTTCGGTGCATTAAGCACTTGGCCTTCCACTAAAGATTCTTCAGACTGGTATTTAAATCTTTGATATTTTTAGATTCTCAAATTTACCTGCCTTTCCTGCTCTCTGTATTCTAGTCAGAAAGGCAACCTTTGATCAGCTTAAAAGCCTAAGTATACAATTACAGTTATAGTAAAAAACAAAATTGAAGTTACTAGGACAGAATCGCAAAGGAGACAGAAATGATTTTAGGAATCTATGCTTCAGTTTGAAGCTTAGCTGAAAGGCAAACAGAAGCTCTCAAGAGAAAAGAGTGAAATGAAATGTCTTCCAGTCAAGGAAGACCACATGGATGGAATCACACTGATCTAGGAGAAAGCATCTTCATACACCTAAAAGAAGGCCAACTTGTCTGGGACCCAATAGGCCAGAGAAAAAAAAATAATATGAAATGAGGCTGGGAGAGTAGGTAAAAAGGATACTGTTCAGGGCTGGGTAGGTGGCTCAGTGTTAGAGTGCTTACCTTGCATGCCTGAGGCCCTGGGTTTGACTCCTCAGCACCACATAAGGATGGAAGTGGTGCTGTGGCTCAAGTGGTAGAGCGCTAGCCTTGAGCTGAAGAGCTGAGGGACAGCACCCAGGCCCAGAGTTCAGGCCCCATGAACGACAAAAAAAAAAATTTTAAGAATACTGTTCATATCATATTAAGACTTGATGCTGAAAACAGGAGAAAAAAAAATTTTTAAGCCTTTAAGGGAGTAACAAAATCCAGTATGCTCAACTGTGAAGTTTATAGGCAATCAACAACTAGTCGCTTAAGAAAATAAATGTTTATCCAGTGCTTTAACTTCCAAAAAACTATCCTCTCTAGGAGCTTTATACCTTTTTTTTTCAATTCACTATTTTTAACTACTCACCAATTCTCTTTGAAGAAAAAAATTAAAGACAAGCCTAAGCATAATTCTTAAATTGAGATTCAAGGTTGGTTTGTATATACTCAGAATCCTTATATTCACTAGCTATGTGAGCTAAAAGGAAGTGCCTATTGGTCCACACTATATTTGTGTATTCTTCCTTTCCCCATCTTTTGTTGTTGCTATTATAATAGTCTTGCTGTATTGCTTCCATTGGTTTTGAACTGCACGGACCCATGTGATTCTCTTACCCTGACCTCCTAAGACCCCACTACAGGATTTGCCACCACACCCACTAATCTCAAAATTAGCTCCTCTACTAGTATTTTGACCCAATTCCTGATTCTTATCTGGTATCCTAGATCATGAATATCTATATGGCCCATTTACACATCCCATTTCCCACTATTTTGAAATCTGTTCTGAATTTAGTTATTTTCTTGTTCCTTTCCTCCTAACTTGAACACCTGGACACTGCCCTCCAGTACAATGTCTACATTTTTCCACCTGTGAACAATGTCTAACTCTAGCCAAGCCTTTTCTAGCCACATTTCTATTGTATTACCACCCCAACACTTAATATTTTAAAGCAGTGAATGTTTCTTTTGGTCATGGATATGTAATGTAGAAAGAGCTCCTTTACAACTACTCACCTCTGCATTTACAAATTACCAACTAGAGTAGCTCAATTGGGACTAGAAGATCCATTTGAGAGGAAGCTTGGAAAACAAGGAGTGGTTGTCATACTTTCCATTGGCACCTGGGGCCTATCAGTGATTGGATTCCCAAATAAGCATCCTAAGAGTGGGAACTGCTAATTTCTTTTTTTTATTATAAATTTTTATTTTTATTTTTTGTGAGCATACTGTACAGATGGGTTACAATTACATGGGCAAGATAATGAGTACATTTCTTATCAAGCATTGCAGCCTCCTCCTTTGTTTACCCTTTCCATCCCTTCGTATCCTCCCCCCGCCCCCCCCAACCCCCCCCAAAGTTGTAAAGTTCGTTTTTGACATGACAACTTGTACTTCTCATAGATGCAACAGGTCCGCCTGTATCCTTAAACGACTTGTTTTCCCCATCTCCTCCACAAATTATACTGATATCAAATATAGTGAAAGCATGGATTATACTGTGGGGGAGGGACATACAGAGCAACAAAGAAATAATCTTATAAGTGCGTTAGAAACACATGCATGAAAGAAAAAAACATTTAAATACATATCTGAGGGTTCATTTTCCTAACATCACATTATCTGACCTTTTCTGCTTGACATACATATACTAGATATTGCAAATCAGGGAAACCATGGGACCTATGTTTCTTTGGGCTTGGCTTACTTCACTTAATATAATTTTTTCCAAGCCTTTCCACTTCCTAACAAATGGGGAAATGTCATTCTTTCTGATGGAGGCATAGAATTCCATTGTGTATATATACCACATTTTCTTGATCCATTCATCTACTGAGGGGCACCTGTGTTGGTTCCATATCTTAGCTATGGTAAATAATGCTGCAATAAACATAGTTGTGCTGGCAGCTTTAGTGTGGTCTTGTTTGTAAACATTTGGATAAATGTCCAAAAGTGGGATTGCTGGGTCATAGGGTACTCTATGTGGAGTCT